CTCGGGTAGAGAAGCGTACTTGATCATGAACATACATTTTACGAATGGTCTGTAAACTTGGCCTCTTCTGCCTTGCATTTCCTTCGTGCCATATATACGAGCCTGTTCTCACCACAGTGCAGTGCTCAGCCTTGCAGCAGTTATTTTCAAGCCCTCTCAGCGTTACTGCAAAACACCATCCCTTAATAACACGGGAGAAGGAGGGAGGGTCCGGGAGGCATCATTAAAGAACCTCATCAATCTGTGGATTGGAAACCACTTTGGATCGCTGTGTTGCATTCGTTACGCTGTGTCCTAGCTCCTCCTCACGTCCCCACACCACCAAGGATGCTTTTAGCCAGCGTCCTGCGAGGATGCTTTGGGGTGACCATGTGCTTCTTCCTTGCCTGCACACATCCCCACATTGTCTGGCCCGTGGTGAGACTGGGGTTTTGCCCAGGCTGCCCTTCGCTGTGAATTTGCATAAGGCTTCATTATTCAGTCCTGCAGCTCCCCGGCGATCCTTGGGGTAAAGCCATGTTCCAGGCTGGTGCCCCGTCTGCAACAAATATGCCTGTGAAAGCCCGATTAATGCCAAATTATACTTAGGGGAAATCTTTACCTTCAGCTATGATATTGTAAATTATTGAATGCTGCAGAGAAATTACCACACAGTCCTAAAAATACCTACCTCTGTCATAGTCACAGAGAGCTTCAAAAGGTTTATTGAGGGGGACTGGGAGATTAATTTCCGTTAAAGATGCAATTTCCGTATTAAAAATAAATATATATATAATTTAAACGGTGCCGTAAAAGCTGAGTTAAAAATAAAAGGGGAATCATATGAATTCAGGCCATGTGCTTACTGCAAAGCTTGCTAGACTTTCACCGTTCTGAAGGAAGCAAGCGGAGGAGGGACGAGGGATCGGCGGCAGACCGCTGTTTGCTGCGGTTTCAGTGCTGACAGATCCATCACTCCGGAGCTGTGTGAGCATCATGCTGGGTGCAGCACACACATGGTGAGAGGTGGTCCTCCTGGCAGGAGGACACAGCCCAGGGATGGATGGGGGGAGCTGAGATTCAGCTGGAGAGAATTTCTCCTCCAGGCCCTTGGAGGGTTCAGCTTTAGGCTCCCTGTGGGCGAACAAGCGCCAAGCTGAAGGTGAAAGGTGTGATTTTACCTGGTTGAATCTGGTCCAGCTGCACAAGAAGAGGCAGACATTACTATTTGCAGAGTGAGGACAAGGTGAGCATATCAGTAAGACAGAAAGGTTTTTCAGACAAGCAAGACACTGGGGAAACATCTCCAAAGCCAGAGAAAGGGGCTGGGGCAAAGCATCTTCTGCACAATCGCACCTACCTCAGGGCCTTAGGAACTACGTGAATTGCAGAGAGTTGCTTGTCTCTTGCAAGAGAATTGCCCATTTGGTCAAAAGCATCCCATGAAAACTATCTCCAGTGTTCCTGGCAACAGCAGCCGGGTACCATGGGCTATTCCCACATATTTTCAGCTGCTTTTTTTTTCTAATCTGACATGGAGGCCCTTTAACCCATGTGAACCTGCGAGTCTTAGACACTTTCCCCACCAGTTTACAGACTGAAAGTAATGGTTTTGTCAGTCCTTCACTATTGGACCTCAGCGACTTAGGGAAAATCCCTTCACATGCAGGTCCTTTATATACCCCAAGTGCCGTCTATGGCTGGTAGGATTTCCTCGATCGCCCTCCACTGCCTCTCCTCTGCCTTCTCACTCGTTATGTGATTTCATTTTAACCGATGGTGAAAGACATGAAAGCAGATATGCACAGCAAGATGTAAAGCCCTCCTGTCTGTCAGCATGCCTCCAAAAAAAAAAAAAAAGACTGTCACAGGCAGGAGACCAGACTCTCATCTGTGAAATCTGGTAGCATGGAGTACAGGGAACTGTAACCCGAGAACTGAAAAATTCAGTGTCTTCAAAATTAGGGGCTGGCTTTGCTAGGCAGAGGGATGTTTGGACAGTGGTCCTAGGTTATGTTAACTGGAACGCTCCCTGACGATGGCAGCGTTGAGATTTTGCCATGGCTGAGAACCAGCCTCCTTCCTGCTGCAAAACCAAATTGGAAATTTGAAGGGGATCCTGAGACTTAGCATTTTGACAGCACTTCTTCAGCTCAGACACAATCTCGGCATGAGTAAATGGGACCTCTTGATGTTTGTGCTGTGAGTAGAACTGGATGGCAAATGGATTTTCCAGTTTATTGAGGTTCTGGGAAGCAAGCAAAAGAAATTTTGCTCTGTGTTGGAACAAAAAAGCAGAATTGTTTTGGGTCATTTGAAACATTTTCAATATATTCAAAGCACTTCATTCAGATTTCAACCTCTTATATTTTAATAGAAAGTAGAGTCTATTTTAAAGAATGTAATTTTGCAGAAAGAAACCAAGCTTCTCGGTGGAAGTACAGAAACAGACCATTTAAGTCTTAAAGAACAGTTTCCCTGAATTTTTCCAGTAAAGAAATATTTTTATAATGACTATGATTTTATTTTTAAACCATTTAATTAAAGCAAGAGCTTTTCTAAAGAAAGCCGGACATCCAGTTGATGTCAGCTTTGTCCATTTCTTGTCTTCCCAGGTTGTTCCCTTTCTTATCAGATGTAATGCACAACCGAAGCTAAATTTGACCCCTTGGGATTCCTTTCCTCGCAGCAAACATCCCGCAGAGCCACCACGCTTAAGTGGATCTCCTTAGAGGTCCCTTTTCTCCGGGGACAGCTTTAGCCATCGGTCTATGGCTGTTGAAATTCCCTTGTTGGCTTCAGAATATTTTATGATGAAAGTTTAATGAAAACTGATGCATTTCCCTGGAAATTTTCCATATTAACAAATGGGTATTTTCCAACAAAGAACATTTTGTCAAAACACTCCTACCCAGTTGCGCCTGCCTTTTACCTCAATTAGTTTCTTAAGAAACAGACACAAACAGCTCATGTATAACTGGATAAAAGAAATTTAATAGTCTAATTGGGGGATAAAAATCTGAAAAAGATGAGGAGAAAACAGGGAGATTAGTATTAGTTTAGAAGGAGGCAGGGGAAGGTGTTCAGTGCTGCATAGTCCTGAAGATGTAAGATCTGCACTTCTCTGAGTGCGTGTTTCTGTGCGGGCTGCCACGTTCGATCAGAGAAATCACCCAGGTAGATCAAATTTATGAAGTTGCCCAGTGATGGGTCTGCATTGTAAATAAAGGCAAATTAGCTGGCAGTATGTTAGCACATATTTCACTTGTGTCACGGTGTAATAATGAACCTTGTATCAAAGTCTGCAACACCATCTGAGTTTTATATGCCCCATTTCCTACATGTTTTGAACAGTGGAACCAATTTATAATGTAATGATTTTTCCATACATAATTTCTTTCTTATGATTTCCATAACTTGGAGCTTTTACTATGACTAGGGCTGAAGGCAGCCTCGTAAAGGATATGAAAAGAGGGCTGGCTAAAGTGTCTCATAAAAAAATAGCTCGAGCGATTTGCTAGTTACTCTCTATGGGTTTGATTGTGCCTTGAATTTTGTACCATGCCAGGAGCCAGCAACCTGCATTTCCAGCCACGCTCGCACTGCGCAGCCTTTCACACCAGGCGCTCGGCGTTGCTGCTTGCTGGCCTCCTCACGTCGGAGAGCAGGAGCCTGGAAAGTGGGGATCCGTGGGCCAGGAGGAAAGGTAGAGCTTGGCTGCCTTTGCTCATTGACTGGCCAAAAGGGAGGAATAGAAATTTTCTCCTGGTTTAAGCCAATCTACGGGTGTGGTGATGAGGTGGCTAGAACAGCTCTGCACAGAGCCAGAAGTGCAAGTACATGCCCTGGGCTGAAGTCAGACTCTGTCTCACGTCAAAGACAAAAATAAAAGCATCTGAAGATTAAAAGGGGGTTGGATGTGTTGTTTGCAATGTCACTGGGCATATTGACACCAGACGGTCTGAACCGTGCTGGCAAACTGGATTGGGCAGGTGAAGAGGTGAGCACAGCTGCCACAGGTGAGCAGGAAGAAATCAGGGGATGCCCCGTGACTTCTGGGTGAGCTCTTATAGCTAGATTTTCTCACCTGCCTAAAAATGGCAGGTTTGGATACATTGACTCCTTAATATTCACAAAGTGATGCAAAACAGAGAAAATAGTTTGTTGTATGGAAAAATATACAGAAAAGAGAGGGAAACTACCCAAACATTTGTTTCAGCCCTTTCAGGACAAAATCCTTCCAGTGTCCATTTCCAATTGGAAATTAATCATTCAGGAAGAGTTTTAATCTAAGCAAGTTTAGACAAGGAGAATCTTCAACACTGAAATACTTCATTTTAGGCACGAACAAAAAGGTAGCTTGACCCAAATGAAAAGTTTGCTTATGTTTTAATTTCATTGACCCCCCTCCCCTGCCCCGCTCCATAAATCTCCTCCAAAGCCAGCTTAGTTTGACCCAAAATGCTCATTTCATTTCCACCAGTTTCCAGCAGCAAATTGAAAAAACAGGGCATTATCTGTGAATCCCTGTATCTGCTGCTGCTGCTCCTGAGATCGTGCTGTATATCCACCATCCCTGCATGCTGAAAGGCACCTCTGAGCCCCATATATCAGGGCTTCCTTAAACACTGAAGATGAGCTTTACCCCCCTCACTATCCTTTCTTCCTGGATGCTTAATCTGTGCACAGGCAGACTCTGAACTGAAGCAACTCCAAAACTGTGCTTTGGGAACATGGTACTGCCCTTAGCAAAGCCCTGACCTTCCTCATTGCTGTGGGAAACCTTTAATAGAGGGGTGCTTTCTTTTTTTCCCATCTGGGAAGAGGTTAGTTAGACACAGGTGCTTGGTTAGCTGATGCAGGTCTTTTGCCCAGAGCCTCCATCCTTGCACAGAAGGATGCTGAGGGATCAATCAGGTGAACAGAGGGGAGAGGCAGGTGGGGAATAGGGAACACCTGGCCTAAGAAACACCAGCTCCATAAATCTGGGCTGTTAAATCCTTTTATCTCTGCACTTTGTAGCTCTGCTGGATCATTTCTACCATGGGCCCAAGGTCAGCTTATTTTTTTTTTCTTGCTCTTTCTTTGTTTATTTGGTGAGCTCCCCTACATACAGTTCAGCTGGAAAAAAATAGGGGGTGCAATTTATTTTTCTGTACAACTCTCCAAGTCCTGGTGACCACATATCAGAAGCGTATCCTGCTAGTACTGAAGTCTGCTCTTGTTGCAGGAAGAAGTAAGGAAACTGTCCATTTAGTACCCCAGATGATGTAGATCTTGGCCACAAATACTACAGAAAACAACACAACCAGTTCATAGACCAGACTGTGTAGTGTTGCCTCCTATTGTTTGCCCTGTTTTTGATTTCCACAGAGTTTCCTTTTGGAAGACTTGGTCCTAAGGCAGCTCCTCTGCTGGGTTTAGAAATGGATGCGGACAGTGTGCTGGTATGAAGCAGGTGCTCCTTCTGATCAATGCATCTGCTGGCTGCTAATCACCTCCTTTTCCTAGAGATGTATTACTTTCAATCCAGATAAATTAGTATTGTGGGTTCACGCCACGTGGCTTTTGCCTCAGCTGGATAAATAGCATGAATCACTTTCCCCTTTCAAAGCCTCTCAGCCGCTCAGCTCAAAATACCCATTTAATCTGACTTTATAAGTTAATAAATCACTCATGATAATTAAGCATGAGCTCCACCTGCCAGCAGAGTGCTAGAGAAGGGCTGGTGTGATGCTGTGTCTCTTGGTATAGCCTGGTGCTGCTCCTCCTGCCTGTGTGCAGCCACAAGCAGCAGCAGAGCTGCCTGGGGAGGGATGGACTTCATTGCAGCTCTGCCCGAAATGTCCCGAGCAAGGGCAAACACCACTGCTCGTGCCTTGTGGATGCAGAGCTGCCTTGCAAACCTTTCAGCACCAGAGCTCTCTCCCCTGGGTGCTCGGAGCCCAGCAGTGCTGCCTCTGCTGGTGTTAAGAGCAGTGATAATTTGCAGGCTGATGGCTGGCTGTTAAATGAGGGTGCATCCTCCTGGGGATCAGCAATAGCTGGGGCTGTTTGCCGGAGGAAGAGCAGGTGGGTGGCTGTACTCAGGGGTTAAGGCAAAGGAAAGGACTTCCTCAGGAGGCAGTGAGGAGGAGACACATACAGTCCACATGCCTCTGACACGCTGAGACTATATCTGCTTTAACAGAGTGGAGGTGGAACCTGGATAGCTAATCCAGCGTGTCCGCGCTGTGTTTATGCAGAGCCAAGCTTGGGACATCTGCCCATAACTCAAAACCACCCTCACCTGGCAGTGTAGCTGTTCTCAGGGATTTAGGATTATGTGTAGGCTTATAAATTTGGTAGGTGTTCCAGTCTGAAATCAAGGTGATTTGCAGGGCCACTCTGAAACTCTTATCATACGCATCCAGGCTTATTTGGGTGTCTGAGCTGCTATGATCTGCAGATTTGTCTCCTCTGTCTTAGGCTCAGTGGCTCTTTGCCTTCTCCCATTCTGCAGCTGTTGTGTCTTTGGCCATGGGGTTTTGAAAGGGAACGTAATCTGTCCTTGAACTTGTATTTTCCATTAAAAACAGTGGTCTGCGTAGTGTAGCATTGGGCAACTGATTATTTTTCAGAGGTGCCCAACATCCTGCTTTGCTCCAAGTCTCTGAAGACTAGAGCAGTAATTGTGGCCGCAATGGCTTGTGTCTCTGGAGTTGTCTGCCGCTTACTTCCAGCTCCAAAAGCTGTAGGTGCAAAACCGTAGGTCACTTTTCAGTCCTGAAGCTTTTCCCCTGATACCACAACTCCCTCGTGCCTACCCCGTGTTTTTTGGCTTTGCTGTGTGCAGAGATTTATACACAGGAAATGGAGAATATGACATTTTGTTTGTGGCTCTGTGTGTGTGTAATATCTTTAATATGAAACTAGTTGCCACTTAATTATACAGGCTAAAGACCTCCATTCAGTGTGTTGTATACAATTTATGAGTCTCAGTTCTCCCAGACACATTACAGCCGTGTGGCAACACCCAGGTGACTAACATTCCTTTTTAATTTAATTTCCTTACATAAATAGCTTCATTAAGGATCAGTTATTTGGGCACAGAAAATAGCGGTGGAGTAAGGAAGGCTAAGCCATTGAATTTAGTGCCCTGCTACTGTTACCGCCGAGAGCAGCACCGGAGCTCAGTGTTGGCCTCCTGCTCGACAGCTGCCTTCACCTCTACACCAGGAATCTCTGGGGTGAAGGTGGTGGAAATATTTCAGAGTCAGTTCAATATACAAGGTAGGATGGGAGTTTCTGGGAGAGCAACGCTAAGGAAGCAGCGATAAGTGATAAGGTGAGGGAAATGGCCTCAGGTTGCACCGAGGGAGGTTTAGGTTAGGTATTAGGAGAAATTTCCTTACTGAAGGGGTTGTGTGGCATTGGGTCAGGCTGCCCAGGGAAGTGGTTGAGTTGCCAGCCCTGGAGGTCTTCGAGAAACTTAGTATCATGGTTTAGTGGTGGACTTGTCCACCCTGTGCTAAAGGTTGGACTAGGTGATCTTAGAGGTCTTTTCCAGCCTGATTCACTCCATGATTCTGTGAAGATGCTTTCAGTCTTATGATCAAGTCTGACCCTTTTGCTGGGATGTCCCGTTTGTTCACTCGTGTCTCATTGATAAAAAGAAGTTCCCTAGCTTACTACATAGGTTCGCATAGCTCTTGGAAAATTGATTCCTCTCTTTGATTATACAGATTTAGACCTGGAAACAAATGGCAGTCAGTGAGACATTGCTGAACTCCTTGGGAAGCTCCCAGTGGTTACCTTGAGGCACTGCTGTGCTGCTCTCTGCATTTGTGGGATATAAACGTGGGGCTCGCAGGACTTGAGGCAGGGGAGGTAAAGGAGAAGCGCTGGAAATGGGATGAGCAGGTGGGTGTCTGTTCTCTGCACCCAGCGCTGGGATGCTTACACTGCGTACCTGCTGTCAAAGCATCTGCTCGCTCTGCAACAAAACTGATCACGGACAAATTATCTTCAGACTCTTAAATTATTTTTTTTTCCTGATACCACGTTAACTTATTCCTTTTACACGATCAGAAATACTGTTCACATATCGTAGTAACATAAAGATTATTTCCTGAGGTAGCCAAGGTTTTTTCTCCCCCAAAACCCCAGTTTGCCAGCCTGCAGGCTCCCAGGCCCTGCAAAATTGGGAAGAAATGTTGCCAGAACGGTGGCTATGCAAATGGCTTTGTCATTTTCAGGCCATCTCCACAAGATTGTACTGTTAAAAGTATCTTCTAGGAACACAGGGAAATGCAAGGGAAGTTAGACATTTCCATAGCTCTTACATGACACTGTGTAATCGTTTGTAAGTGGTGTAAACACTCCTTGTTCAGGACATAAGCCAAATCTTAACTGTCCACAGGTAGGACAGAACACTCTCCGTGGACGTCCTGTTATATCATTATCTATTATGCTGAAGCATCTGAGTTTTATTACTCTCGGAGATAGGATGTCAGGCTCACAGGGCTGTAGGCCTGGATGTGTGCTGAAGGCATAGCAGTGGCTGTTTCTTAAAACAGCAGCCAAGTGTAAATCTTACAAAAGCCCTTTCGAGATGGGTGGTCTTGCTCATTGGACACAGGCTTTCGCTTTTCAGCAGGGAAAGGGTTGAGTGATGATTATCTCTCACTTTTTCCCATTTCTTTTATTTTAGTGATAAATAAAACGAGTCTTGCTTGAAGTGATTGCTTTTTAATGATGCATGTCAGATGTGAAAGCAGTATCTCTCCTGTTTGAAGAGGGCATGTAATGTAACAAGCTGGCTGAGTCTCATTCCCAAATCACCACTGCTCAGAAACATTCCCCCTATCAGCATGGAAATAAATGAGCTCTCATTGCCTGCAGAGGCTGGGGAGGCCTTACCTTGCCTGGATATTACCTCCTTGTTCTCTGTGGGGGGAAGAAAGATATAAAATAGCAGACCCCCAACTTTTTTTTTGATTGCCAGACGACCTCCAAGTAGAAAATATGTGTGATCCCTGAATACCTGTCCAAGGAATTACATTTCTGTAGGCTCATAACGCTATTAATAACTGCACTACCTCCCCACGGGGTCCCGGCTCTAGTTTGGGTATTGCTGACCTAAAGAATAGGCTGAGTGGTTTGGAGAGAGAAATCTTAGAGGCAGCTGGACCTGTGGAGAAGCCCTGAGTAGGTCTTTTGTGTTGTCTAGAGGTTGTTCACATGAACAGAAGGGACTGGGAACTTGCTGCTGCTCAAAGGCTTTCCTTGCATGGAAGCTGCTGCCCGCCAGCTGGCCTCCTGCTATTGATGGTGCTGCCACTCCGTGGCAAATACAGGCTAAATTGGGTTCGTCTGGAACTTTCTGGAGGACCATGAAGTGGGGAAGGCTACCCAGGGAAATCAATACCAGGTATGGATGGTGAGCGTGTTGGTTATTTTCCTCAGTAAACTTCTCCAGTGCGGCATGTGGGAGATAAGCCTGGGCTTGGTACAAACCATGAGCTATTTGCAGAGCGCGCCATGGAAGATACTGAGTCCAAGAGGCCCAAATGCACCAGCTCCCTCCCTTCATCCTTCAAATTCAGTGCACAACCTCCCAGGAACTCGGATACTTTCCAATGCATTACCCACTCCAATTTGAAGTGACCCATGCGGTGAACCATCACTTCCCCTGGCAGCTTGTTAGGATGTTTTCTCCCTTTATCCAACTCATATTTCCCATTTCTTTATTTCAGCTCATTACTTCCCTTAGCCTGGCTGAGGGCAAATGTGCTTCACCACTAAATAGCCCACAGCAATCATGGCTTCAGTCATGTACCATTAATCCCCAGAGTACAGCAGTACTCGTTCACCCTGCTGCATGCTCCAGGAGACAGTGAATGATTGACACTGGTCATAAATGCTTATAGTGTTAATTCTTTAATGTCCTGCTAATTTTAATTTGCTCTGTTCATCTTGGGAGGGGTGCAATAACAGATGCTGGGCAGAATACTGCCCCTTGTCTGCTGCTTATCACTGCTGGAAACATGCCTCTCCTATCATAGTTTGCACAGCCTCAAGGCATGGAACAAAAATGAAGGCTATTTTTGTGTAAATAAACACCAAACTGCACAGAGTTCTGCATCTTTGGTGGCCAAGAAAAGGGATCTCTGTGTTGGAATCTGCTCTGTGAAGTAGGCATAACCTTTCTCATGCCCCCTTATTATATGCAAGGTTTTTGCCTGGCTACTTAAACCCAACCTCATTTTTGGGAGGCCTTTATGCGCTGAAATCCTTTGGTGTTTCAGCTTCAGCCTTTGCCAAGCACTTACACAGGTGGAGCATGTTAAGGCCATGAGCTGAATTGCAGGAGATGGTTTTGTACTCATTGTTACTTTGCTGGAATGTGCTCTCAGTTCCCCAAACGAAGGTGGTTACATTGGATTCATCCTTTCCCTCAGAATAAAATAAACACTGACTGCACAAAGTTGCCTTTTTGGTTCGTGCACATTGTCCTGCACACCTGGGAGAGAGTGGAGAGAGCTGTGTAGTTTGGATGGAGTTTGAGGTATGGACGGACCAGTGCAAGCTGGGGTGATCCCATCCCAGCTGTCACTTTGAGTTCGTACCTTCCCAGGGCTGGCTGCACCGCTTGGTCCTGTCATTTCTTAGCAGCCCGTGATGCAGAATTCATCTTTTCACAGTTGTCCGTGCCGTACTTCTCAAGCCGATCCCATCAGCATTTCACTCAAGACCTCGCTTTTTGCAGGCTCCAAGCCCCCGTCAAAACCACCAGACTTTTGGCAGAGCTGTGAATGAAGCAGTTGGAACTTGCGTTGTTTGCAGTGCAGGCAGCGGTTTGCAGAGGGGTCAGTTCGTGGCGGTGCGAGCTGAAATGCGTTGGGCTTGATT